CATTGATAAGAAAAATTGATTGAAGCCTTTTGAGCTTGGCTTTCACCAGCAGGTGTTTATCTGGAGGGCATCAGGCTTAAAGCCATAGGCGTGGTGTCTGCTACATTTTCACTTTTTCAGAGATTTTTCCTGACAGTTAAAGTTTGCAGTCAGACAAGAATCCAGGTGAGTTTGATATTCTGAGAATGAATACCAGACAACAAACAACCATATCACCAAACCAGCCGTACACCAACTACTTAAGGTCAAACCACCAGTAGCACCAGGATCAGGGAGGGACAGCTATGTGCTCCGACCAGTTGGTGGTAACGGGAGAAATGAAAGTTCACCGGGGTTGATTTAAAAGTGGAATTTAGTAATTAGTGAATATTGATTGCTAATCATTGATTCTCTAAAAAAAATCATCTTGTTCTCACAGATGTTTGAAAATAGTTGAAAATGATTAACTCTTTTATATTTTTTCTCAGTTTTCAAAAGCCCTTAATATGTGAAAGGGGCACTAACAGAAAGTAAATAACAACTTAAAAAGAGGTCATTGCAGAGGAATTTATGATCAAAACTGAGATATTTTTTGAGATAATTTTAATATTTTTGAATCCTAGAAGAGTTAAAAACAGTAAGATAGGAAACCTGTGACTCAAATGTCATCACTACCATTTCTGAATTATAACTTCCTGTAAAACTTCAAGCTTGCCAGTTAACAAAGGCTTTTCATGTCATACTGATAGTTGCTTTTGTGGCTCTCTAAGATAATTACATTTGTACTCATGTTGTGTTTTTTGTTGCAGGAATTAACGAGGTGAATTTTCACTGCGTGACTAACAACACTGCTCATCGCACCATTGAAATTACAAGAAAGCAGCTGATTGTTAGGCGTGGCCAGCCCTTCCTGCTGACCCTGGAAATGGTGCAGCCTTTCAGTGTCAGGGACACACTCCTGCTCACTGTAGAGACAGGTAGCCACTTGAACTGGTTTTAAAAGCCAATCTTTCTGCCACACTGTTTGTCATCACATCACATGCTTCAAAACATTAAAATAGTCCACTGACAAATAACTATTTACAATATAATGTTTAAAAGTTCTTAATATGGTAAAGTGTCCATACAGGAGTTAAATAACATTATATTTGACCCAACAATTAACATAACACATTTGTAACTCTACAAAATCACCTGTTGATGTCCTCCAGCTTATTGGCAGTCTATTATGGTTAGGCTCTGGTTAACAACCATTGCCTAATCATAGTCCTCAGTGACCTGGTGGAAGTAAAGCGGTTAAGTAGAGTTTTTTGAAGAAAACAACAAAATAAAACTGACTGATCCCTGAAATGTAACAAGTGCTCTTCCCCACTTCTTCCTTACTTCAGGTCCTGCTCCATCAGAAAGACATGGAACACGTTCTCAGTTTGGTAACCCATCTGCCAAATATACCAGTGATGCCAAGGCAATATGGAAGTATGAGATTGACAGGAGTGCTGTCCTGGAGAGGGGCATTGTGGCTCTCTCTGTAACCCCACCAACTGACGCTCCTGTGGGGAAATACTCCCTGTCTGCAATGACACATGGTGAAACAAGAAATCTGGGAACTTTGGTGGTGCTCTTCAACCCCTGGTGCTCTGGTAAAAAACAAAGTTTTAGTCCTGATAAGTAAAACAAAAGAAAAAGAAAAAAGACAGACAATCTGTAACTAATAGAAGTTATTATCTATAGATAGAGGTTTTTGTTGTGTTTTTGATATATGAACTTACCATAAAAGCTGAGTCATTCTGCTAATAAATTTGCTAAGGATGCTTGCATTATATTTGCATGTGTCTGCAGGCGACTGGGTGTATCTCCCTGATGACAGAGAAAGACAAGAATATGTGATGAATGAAGAGGGAACCGTCTACACAGGAACATCACACTACATAGGTTCACAGCCCTGGATCTTTGGACAGGTCAGCACCAGAGTGCTGCCATGCTTATGCTGCCATATTTGGCCA